ACACAAGTTTATTTTTCCTCAATTCCCATACACTGAGAAAACCGATGCACGCTGAATAATTCAGCCTTTTCGTCTGCGTCTGGGCACTGAGGGACTCAACATCATTGTGTTCTGTCTATCCATGCAAACAACCCAGCTGGAACGTGAACATGTGCAGTGATGTTCCTCACTGGGCAGATGTCCAGTTGACTTCACCCAGGATTCATACCAGCAGGCGGCGCTCAGCCTGGACAGGTTAACGGCTCGGTGTGAGACGACCGTTCACACTCACATTCACACCTATGCTTGGAAGCACAAGGTGATGTCAACATGGATTTGTGCTAAGACACCTTTGTCCGGGAGTCTACACATTTTTGTCCAAGCATCTTTACATTTGTTCACTTCAGCTTGAATTCACTGTCTCACTTTTTCATATTTTCTGTAGTTAATTTCTACCCAGGGAGTCTTTTAGGTTACATTAACTTACTTCCTGTTACTCTCCGTGATACATTTCCCACGTGTGTATTTTTAATTTGACTTCCCCCTCATTTCCCTGATTATACCCACACCCACTGTGCCGACTGGTTTCCCGGTGTGTCTCATCATCTTATTTCCTGTTGACAGAAATTTTTTTTTATTCCTCTCTAAGACTCTGACTGGTGTGTTTTTACTCTGCCCAGTTTGCTCTACATTAACTTGCTGCGTTACTGCCCACCTGTGTCAACAGACCGTCTGTGTAAAGATGTTTGTACTTCACTACAGCCGACTCGTGCCTTTGGCTCGGCTGCCATGTTAGCTATTACACTTCAGCATCACCTCGTTACCGAAGGTCCAAATGAAAGTAAATGTGGGCATAAGTGGATATTGCTGCTGACTCAGCAGTGTTGTTAGCCTTTCCCATTAATTTGCATTAAGGCAAAGTGTCAACAAAGGCTGAGGGATGACTGAATAAAGAGGAAACACAAAGGGTGTTCAACAAAGCACTGATAGTCTCTGTCTTAGGTACTTCACATATTTTACATTTTTCTAGTTATTACGTAAAACCTATACCAGTTGTTATTATTGTCACTACTATTGTCACTACTGCTCTGTCTGTGTTTATTAATTTGGTATTTCTATAGTCGATGTCGGCCTGTGGGTGGGTTAGGAGGGTATGGGATTGCTGTCCTGTTTGGTTTCTATGCTGTTTATGTACAGAAAATCACTTGTTCAAATTCAATAAAAAGAAAACACTGATAGTATCCATATTAATCAGGCTGAACACGTATTAGTGTTCAAAGTAGTGTTTGTTTCCACGGCATTTCAATTTTATGGATTCAAGAAAAAGGCTTAATGCCCGTGACATGCAATCTGCATCCAGACGGATTTATAAGAAACATGTCAGAAGAAGAGAAACAAAGGATCAGCCACGTAACACTGGGCTGATGATTTCTGTGCATCCATTTCTGTTTGTTGACACAACATTAAAAATGCCCTGTTTGTATTATGTGGCTGGTGAGATATGTTTGGGTAACAGCTTATTGCAGCACGATGGTGATCCATCATTTCTTGACGAATGTGAACAGTTTTTGGAATTTACATCTTGATGATTGGATGATGCCAAAATATAAATAATACAGTAAGAAAACACAACAATCTCAGTTTTCCAGTTTGTTTGTTTTTTGAGGGGTGGAGGGGCTTTACTCATGCTTTCGATTCTCAGCTCCACCCTACTCTATTTCTGAAGTGAGTATTGAAGCAGGACAGAAAAGTCATTTCTTAATGAGCATTTATAATTTAACTCAAATATTGTTTGTCCTTTTTCTAAAAGCAAACTTGTGTTTTCTCTGACAGTCACATTTTTACTCTGTAGTGTAATTCTCTGTATTTGAAAATATTTTGTCTTTTGAAAAAAAGACGTCTATTTTTATGTATGCACTGAAACATGGTTAGTTCACAGTTAGATTTTATGGCATGTATATGTGACATGAAACCTCTCACCTTGCTGCAGTATGTAATATGTTCAAGCAAAATGAGTGTGAGAAACAGAGCTGTCCTTCAAATACTACACAGAGAAATAATATTGCGTTGAGTGGGGTTGGGAGTACAACTGTAAAATGTTGTATGTAACCAGAAGTAAATGCAGTAGAAATAATGTAGGCTACACATTGGACCAAACACTGTCTGTTTGTACTTGTCGTGTTCCCTCTCTGCGTGCTTTCCCTTCAGATTCGTACTGCTGTCAAAAACATGCAGGATTAGGTGAAGTGTGTAAGTAAATTATTATTTTTCGGTTGTTTGGTTCTATATATGCACCTGTGAAGGACTGGTAGACTGCACAGGGGGAGGGGGAGTTTCCCCAGCCCTGCTTGATGCCAGTTGGTACCAGTTCCATGTGAGATTTATGGTGCAAAATGTCATTGTTGACTGTCTGTGTTGTCCTCAGCAGTTCTGAGTGCATGTTTGCAGATGTTTTGCTTCTGATCTCACATTTCTTTAAGAACAATCTCTTAGGAGGCGTCTCAGATGTTTAGGTTAGACTATACAGAAACTAGAAACCAATCACCAAGAATGAAAATTATGTTGGCTAATGTCTAATACAATCTAGAAGAACCAGTCAGTTTGTGTAAAAGTTTTTTGGGGTTTTTTTTTTTTTGAGTATTAATTTTAAAATGTTTATTTATATGATCAGTTAGAGAGAAAACTGTACAATCCAGTCTGGAAGAATCAGTATATAATGTGCACTGAAGTTAAAATGGGCCATGTACCAAATGTGCTGCCTTGTTTATGGCAGAGGATCAACATGGATTTATAGAAAGAAAAGAAGAGCCTGGATTTTCCAAGTCCTTTGGGATGCCATCAGATATTACAATCTGGCATTAATGTTTCCTTGCATGTGGAGTTTCATCCAGCAGTCAAACTCAGAAGAGCTTCACTACAACTGATTGTAGTAAATAAAAATGTATGTAAATGACACAATACATTTCAATGACATGCATTTCATCCTTCAACAAAGATGTATTCAACCAACCTCCTTTTATTGAGATTTTAATACTGCACTGCATTTAAGCATCCGTTGGCCAGGAACCAAAAATGATGACAGTCACCACAGCTGTACGCACTTAGCATAATGATATAAATATTAATGAGCAAAAACACAATTACAGTCACACGCAGTCAAAAGTTATCATACAAGCTGTCAAAGTGAGCAGGAAACAGGAATTGAACTGATGTGAACGTTTGAGCCGAACAAAGAATAATCAGTCTGGTATTGAACCTGCCTTGACAGCCTTCGTTACCAGTTAACATTTGCCCAGAGAGACCAAGGTTTTTACTTTTGCATCGTTTCCCCACAGGAGGTGGTAACAGAGAACACAGAGGCCATTGGTGAGGTTCTGTTTGGCTTAACAACAATGGAAGGAGGCACAGTTTTATGAACTGTTATTAACAGTGGCTCCAAAAATAGTGAGGCAGAGTGACTGTATGTCCTTACACAGAAATGTTCCAGTAAACATCTCAGTGATACTGGACATGTTCACTATCAGTCATTATTGTCTCGTTTGGAGTCTGTGTGTGCGTGTGTGCGTGTGTATACAACAGTGTTTTATTAGACGTACAAAAAGAATGTGGATGCTGAAGAAATGTGAATTACTTAGAGTATGAACCTGATATTTCTAAATCTGAATTGAATGCTTTTTTTTTTCAATCCAAAAAAAACCCAACAGAAATGCAGATGTTTGATTTTCTCTTTGGACAAAAATAGAAGAGACGGGTGTTTGTGGAGTCCATCGCCGACCTCTGTTTCCCTCAGGTTTGTCCTCTTGTTAATGAGTTAATGTGTAATATCTAAGTTTAAGACACAAAGTGCTATCTCAAAAGAAATCAATTTATGTTGCGTGTTACTTGTAATGATGTTTTAAGTGCTCTAATAACTGAAAGCCACTTAACACTGCTGTGTTTTAGAATTTCTACTAGCAGTATCACCTAAAATAACAATGCTGAAGTGAAAACTGCCAGAGTCTCCTCAGACTGCAGACTATCAGGTGACTGCCCCACATGCGTAATTTACCTTTGATCAATGGTTGGCAGATTTTTGTCTGAGCTGCTGTACTCTGTGATCCTTCAATGGATAAGGAGTATAGATTGACATGATAATTAATTGTAATTATGCTAGATTTTCCTAACATGTCATGGAGCTCTGTCTGTGTTCACTGGATTCATTTATTTTTAAAATAACTGATTTATTTATGAGTGGTAATCTTTAAATGATCCCTTCAGGCAACAGTTTGCTTAAAAGCAGGTCTGTATATTAAGAATCCCAACTCCAAAGGAATCATAGATTTGTATTTGTAACAATTCAAGCATATCAGCATAATTGGATATACATCTATATTTGGCTGTAATGTGGTAATGAAGACTGCACTGAGTACTGCATCAGATCAGGGCTTTAATAATAAATACTGGTTCAGTATTAATGGAGACTGTGTGGTCACAACAAATGATCAATGATCACATATCTTTGTTGCAGAAATTAAAATAATAACAGTTGCTGGTCTGCCAGTATATACCTTCTAAGTGTTCTTATAAGACAAATGTTGGGGACATGCTGTATTTGTTGTAATTACAGAAGAACCCAATGTAGCTTTTTCTTAGCACGTGTCTATGATTTAGGTAAAGTAACAAAATCACTGATGAGGCAGGTTCTCACAGGTCATAACATGGAAAATATTAATATCATTTTACTGATTTGAGCATTGCATCTTTAAAAAAAACGCTGAATTTGCTTTTTTTTTAAACAACGACCAAAGGCATTAATGAACAGTGTCGCACCTCTCGAATAAATCACACACAAGGTCAAAGGGATGTCATCCAAATAGACATCACTTTTTAAACCTGACAGTGTTATCCCTGCTTTGCTGAGGCCTATTTCAGCGTGTTTCGACAATGACATGACTCTGCAACTTTACCGGACTTTCCACAAGGGGGCGATCTCTGCAATTTCTTCTCCTTTTTCCCGTTAGCGAATTCCCATATTTTTTTACAAACAAAATAGTGGCTCATAGTGACCTATTTTTGTCCACCTATGCCACAGATCACAATGACATGAGTGTCAAACAGACTTTTGTCCCTACGATGTCATGATATAAACCAGTACACCACAGAGGACCAGAGCTTCCTATCCGAGCTCCCAGCTGCTGTTTATCTCCTCAGTATAAAGAAAACCAACGGCAGTTAAATCCTTTCACGATGTGTCAACTGTAAATTTTGTCAGCGTGAGCGATGCTTTCGGTAGCTATGGAGACCAAGGATAATAGACGGGCCAACCCTCCCTCTCTCTCCCCCTCTTTCTCTCTCACTCGCTACTTTGCGCATGTACACCCAGTCACACTGAGCATTGCTACGACTCCAAGATGGCGAAAGCACGTCTGGCTTTCCTCCTGACTCTCCTCTCAACTCTCTGTAAGTAGAAAAAAAACATCTTTCCAACTCTCTGCTGCTGGAGCACTTTCTTCTGAAGGCATGCTGCCGTCAAATAATTTCAACTCTTGTTTGTGCTTAGTCTACATTTTATACGAATTAATACAAAATAAGAGAGACGCATTGGTTTCAAAGTGACGCTGTTTGGCTGTAACAACCGTTAAACTCCAAATTCTGTGAGACGCCGTGAAGTCAACAGGTTTGTTTTTTATTTTATTTTTAAATAAACTCACAGTGAGCAAATGTACAGAGTAGCGCCGTTTTCCTTGTTACTCTAAACTAAATGTTACTATTTTCTTTACCCTGTTTTAAAACACTTTATGTAAACAAAAACAGAACGTAAGCGCAGGTTGGTTTCCGAAGTGCGAATCACTTGGCCGCACTTCTACACTTTGCTCTTTTATGCCCTTCCTTTGGATAAGAAGAAAAGTTTCAGCTTCGAAAAGTTCTCAGAAATAAGCGTAATTCATTAAGTAAACAAGACTCTTTTTTCACTTTTCAACTTTTAAAAAAGTGTTTGTAGCGGTAGCGAAAAAGATGTTGGACCTGGTGATGCAAGATAACGGTTTATTTTCCTGCGGGTGAATAAAGCAAGCTCTCTGCGGGAGGAGCTACAGCCAGAACACTGTCCTCCTCCTGCACCTCCTCCTCCACTCCTCTGTCCTCGGTAGCTGCTGGAACCTTTCAACCCGCTCGCAGCTAAGCTGGTAAATCCAAACAGTGGTCGGAAAATCAATTCGTCTCACTGTCCACTTCCCCTACCTGGAAGGAGGATCAGGCAAACGATAGTGTATTGGCGCAGTGGTCGAACATGGTTTACACAGCACACCTGTAAGAGCCGAGCGACCACGAGCAGTGTCCTAAATGTATACAACTTTATTTCAAATATTTAATTTATTGCTATTAAAGCTAAATTACACGTTAATTCACACAATTTTAGTAGCAAACAGGACCAATAACGTTACAGAAAATGTACCAAAAAAGCCCAGCTTCATTTCTACATCATTTCTACGTCATCCTTGACATTACGATAATTTGTTCTATTTAAATATTGGTTGTTTTAAAATAAGTGATATTTTCAATTAAATAACAAAGGATAGACAAGTTATTTAGATAATGACCTAATTGCTCAGTGAGGTTTTGCAAACTTACTGAGCAGTTAAAATGTCAAGAAAATGTTGACATGCTTTTGTTGACTGATATTTAGGCTGAATATTGATTCATTTAAAACAAAAAAATATGTTTTTACCTGCCGTCTCACATATTCTTAAACAAATACTCAATCTCATGAGCTCAGAAAAAGAAAAATCATAGATAGAATAAACGGTTCATAAAAAATGATTTACGGCAGTTATATTAAAATAAACCTTAAAGGTAGGTTTCTGTGAGAAACCTTTTCCACATAAATCAGTGTGCTCTGTTTATTATTGTTATGTCACCATATTAGCTCTGCCTGAAATTTACTGCTTGTTTTTTTATCATGTACCCACGGATGCAGATTAAGGGCAGTATAAAAGGAGAGATGCAGATCAAAGGAAGTATAGACACTGACTTGCCTGTGATCTCTCATGTGTGTGAACTGGCTTATTTTCTTTGCTTTATTAGGGATAGCTGTGGAGCTTGTTTCAAATATGATGCTGTCTTCACTCATTCCTCCTGTAATACATCGAAGCTATGTGCAGATATTTTTCCAGGGTCTATATACTGTGTGTGTGTGTGTGTGTGTGTGTGTGTGTGAGTATTTCTTTCCTTCAGCAATACTTTCAAAAGTCAGTTCTCTTAATGATGTTCTCCCTCGGAGATTTTGTAGCAGCTACGGCATGGTAGCAGCACAACTGACATTTCAGGGGGGGCAGTGAACTGTTGAGGATTTAAGAATTTCTTTTGTCTCTATTGGAGGGGGCTTAGCCATGTGGTCAGAAACCTCCCTGTCTGCATCGCCCCTGTCTTTAGAAATTGGACAAATCTGGTTTGACAGAAGCAGGCCTGCAAACCTTGGTATGAATTGCTAATTGGTGCTGAAAGGCTCATATTTCTGATAGATTTTAACTGTAACTAAATTATGTGTTGTCGCTCAGAATAGCTGCACTTCTTATTTCATATTCTGATGTCCTTGTGAAGGTCACAGTTATTCTAAATTTACAGTACTTTTAGGTGCAATTATTTTAATGGGAATGGCCATACTAAAAGACCAAACTGACTTTCTTCCAGATCAAATGGAACGTTTCAACACTTTCCCTTTTTGGGAACCTGCACCTGGTCAGTTAAGTTATTCTACAGAAAGTACAAGTTTCTCAGACAACATCTGCAAGACGCTTGTGTATGCAGTGTTGATATGTAATGCTGTGTAAAATACGTAGGTTAGTACTGTCATCACTGTGTTTAAAACTATTTGTGGTATCTGTAGTTTGAATACCTCAATCCTGCCCTGTGTTTATTAAGCAAAATTATAAGATGAAAAAAAATGAGGCAGTTAACCATGGAGTTATGTTTTTTGTATTAAAAATATTTTTGATAATCTACATTTAGGATTTGTAAATGTAAATATTATTACAAAACAAAGCATTTAAAGGAACCACAAGAAACATTTTCTTAACTTGTAGACACGACCTACACAGGTCATAGTAAAAAGTGAAGATTACAGTAAATTTTTTTTATTTCATGATCCTGTGTAACATCCTAATTTGTCTGAGAATCATTCGAATACCGATCACACATAATTGGTGTTGTAGATTTTTTTCTTCCCACACAGTTGACATTTGTATGACTTTATCTTTGTTTTATTCATAGTTGTTAGCCTAATCTATTTGAAGCTATCAGTTTATCTGATTGGCTGAGATAAGGCAGGATATCTGTCCACTGTGGAGCCTGTCCCGTGCTCTTTGCTGATAAGTCAGCGCGTCACTCACAGGGCTTTGGCACGCTCATCACATGATGTGATCTAGCAAACTCTTCAAACATTTGTTTTCGTCAAGCCTAGTGTTGGCATTTTCTCATGGTTTGGCATATGTGGCACCACTATTTGAAGAGACAGTGTGGGCCAACAGATCTGCCCCCTCTGAGGTGCATGCTGTCGGATGTTTGCCTACCCGTCTGAAGCTCGTGAGCAATTGTATAAAGCACTCTCTGAATGGCATGCACAGCCCCTGTGGTCAAGTGTTGTAACAGTCTGACATTTTACTGCTTGGAAGGAAATGGCAAAGCAAAAGTGCCATGCTGCGCTGCTGGATAGACGATAGAAAGACACCCCTGTATGACAAGTATAGGTGACATTACATCTTTCTAGCCCAAAAAATGTTTGTTATTCATAAAAAAAACCCTGACAATTCTTAATCCGTCTTAAAAAGTTAACCGTATGAGTACAGGGCAACAACAGTCCCTCATGGGATAAAGTCACAGTGGCACATGGCCCTGACAGTGGAATGAGCCAAAACAGCTGAGCAGGAGTGGGCGGTGGTGTTTTGAGCAGTATCGCAGGCGTAACCAGAAATATCTGAGTGTGCACATTAGCAAATGCGGCATTCCAAATAGAAAACACATGGAGGGAGAGTCTGTCTCAACACAGTCACACTGGCTAACAATCATAACCACCTGTTTTCCTCTGAGATAAAAGGGAGTCCTGTGGATGAGCTGCCTGAGGTCAGAGCTGATGGGGGTAGTTGGGAAGAAAGAGCACAGCAGTGTTATGAGTAAAAGGCATTCAAAAACAAGCAGGGTGTGACACTACGTTTCCTAAGACAGAAAAGCCATAAACAGAGAAAGTATACAAGGCACAACAGGATCCTACAGCAGGAGTTGGGGTCAACCCGCAATTTTAATGTTCCAGACATGTGTTTGTTTTAATTGTCACTAAGACTTACATTTCTGGCAGAGTCTGAGTATGCTAGAAGAGAAATTCTACATACCGTTGTGAGAATCTAGAACCAAAGATGGTTCGTTTTTATACTGTTCGAGTTATGTATCTTTAAAAAAGACGGAATCTGTCCTAGTAGTATAATTTAACCCTTGTTTGTTTGACAAAAAGTTTATACTTCAGTGTTTAGCCGATTGTAGGGATAATTACCAGGATGCCTCCATCCCAGTTGTTTCCTGTTTGATGATATCTGTAGTAACATAGTCCTCGTACATAGAAAAACGACACGGTGGCTGTTGTGCTCCTGCGCTCACTGGATACTGACAGAGAACATCAATAGGTCAAAAGAAATCAGCATTGATCATACATTGGCATACCGTTAGCTTAGTAAGATAATTAGAGGTTTCATTAGTGATATTGGAAGCAATAAAGGACCGTGATCTGCCTCTCTGAGTGAGAAGGAAAACAGTTGAAGGCCCAACCAAATGAACACTGCAGATTCATAATTTGTTTACCAGGCTGTACGAAGAGTGGTCATTACTTCCCGTAGTCACAAGTCAGAGTCATCTGACAGCCCCAGGTGTTAGATCACAGTTCTATCACTTTGGCTTGAATTTGTATATACATGCCTAAATCTGTAGCTCTAGCATTAAATGAATTTTAGAGCTTGGATTTATTTTATTTTTTTCAACAGTATTCTATTTAAGAGCATTAAAAGCTTTTTTTATGTGACCCACATATTTCCTTAATTAATGGCTGCAGTGTTTTTGAAACAAAAGCTGCTATCACAGCTTTTTTTTACAGAGCATTATAGCACTTGAGTTCTGACTGCTCCATTATGGGTCCTGCATGTCGGCCTTTACTTTTGTCTTTATTCCTTCACTCTGACTCAACAAGCTATTGACTTTTTCTTTAAATAGACACTTACAAAAGGTAACTTATTACACTTGTTTTATTATCCATAATTAAATAAACCAATTTGATATCTCATTGTCCTTCAATAAATAGGACAATGGCAGTATGGCACATGTTATAGACATAAATCTGTATATGCCTTTGGCTGCTCATCAGAGTCAGTGTGCCTTTAGCTGACTGGACAGATAGGATTGTAATCAGACTCTCTTGCCAT